AAACTATTCTAGATTATCTGTCATAAAAAACATTTATTTTAAGATTCTTTATGCGGCCATTTGATTGCTTTAAACGTCTTAATGTAGCCCTTTGGAAAAAAATGTTGCCCACTTCTGCATTAAATGAAGGAAATTCAAAGGCATGAGGTCAGAAAACAAGCTTTGCAGACACAAATTAAAGGCCCAGAATTATAGCCTTATTACAGCTGCAACCTTTTTATGCCTAATCTCTTCCATTATAAAATCTCATGAAGTGATGGCGCACGAGGTGTGGATTAAGGATGACTCTCGGCTACTACTGCATCAAATTTACCTAAATATTTTTTACAATTTACTAGGTTATAGCCATTATTGTGTGGACCAATGTTGACTGGGTTGGCTCCATATTGTAATGGGTTTTAGATGGACAGTCAATGGTACCTTTCTGAAAGTTTTATTGAAATCTATCCAATGGTTCATGAGATATTTTACTAACAAACAGGGAGTTTCGATTAACAGTCAAAGATGATGCAATTGTGAAGAACTCAAAGTGATGAAAAGGAGTCCAAATTTTAGCTCAATATCTGTAAAAATGACTGAATATTAGCTATTTTATGTTTCCTAAAGCCAGTAGGTTGTCACGAGTTGGCCCTTAAAGTCAATCAGTCAATCTTTGATTACTTTTTGACATGTTTTCATTCAAATCTATTGAGTGGTTTATGAGATATTTTGCTAATAAACCAACACCTGCTATGAGTGGCGAGCTATAAAAATACACCAGTCATAGGTGAAAATTAAAGTTTGTGATTTTTGGGGGATCTGTAACCAGTGGTTTTCTCCACGGTCTTTTGAAAGAGATGTAGCTCTAGTATCAGATTTGACTTTGAATAGTTGTGCATGTATAAATAAAAAAAATATGAATACTATTATTAAACAAGCAGCATTCCGATGTTCCTCGTAGCTGAAGGATTTGAATAGTAAACGTTTGTAGCTGATAAGGGCTGGAATTGAACAGGGAAAGCAAGTAAACTTTAAAGTTTTTGGTGTGAGATATTAAAGTGGGTAGGAGTTGCAGTGTAAAGAAAAGACGTCGGCCTTTCCCTTCTTGTTCGAGGAGGTGTAGAGTGACAGATCCAGGCGAGTGGAGGGAACCATGTTATCCACAGGAAATTCCCTTAAACTGCGGATAAACTTGGAAACTGTGCAATTCTGCATTTTAGATTATAGAAATAATAAAAAAATGTAAACACTATGGCCCTGTAGGAATATCAAACAAATATTAAAGAATGACCCCAACATGAACCCACAGATCCGCATTATTCTCATTAGCTGAGAAGAACAAAGTGTTTGGTGCCCATTGAGGATTTACTTCTAATCTCCCAGCATGCTTTGCAGAATTTGAGGAAGAGCTACTTGTTTAATAAATGTGAATATTATAGCTCAGTTGGATATTTCTATAAACAAGGGTTTGCATTTTGTCACCTAATAAACTTGTGTTCTTGTGCTGAATTGTGACTGGAGTTCCTTAGATCAACTAAAAGAATTACCGTATACATGGCAAGTATAGTTCTTTTAGAAACCTGTAAAATGTATGTACCGCATACTAAAGGAAAAAAAAAAAAAAGAACTTTGATTGCTTTTCTGTCAGGTCTAATATCCCCAGCTCTCCATAGTTCTATTTTTTCCACCGTACCACACATCGCGCTGCAAGAAACTAATTTTCTTTGAGGGTACAAATAACCTGGTCCTTTTAAACATCTCAATAACTGCGCGTGAAGCCCTGGAGACACGTCTGAGTGCCAGCAGCCGTGAGGAGAGAGACTGTTCGGTTCTACTGTGCAGGTTCAGCTTCTTGTTCCTCTGGCTTTTCATTCCTACTTTAACACGATCTATTAAGGTGACAAAGTGACACACTCGAAACAATCCATGTCCAGACGGCCCTGTGCACCACTGATAACTCATTGCAGCTCAACCTAGACTTACAAGAGTCCTTGCAGATAACTTTTCTTTATGTTTTTTTTATATAACAGGACACTTATAATGTGTGTTTACCAGAAGGTGATCAGACCAACAAAATAAATTACTGTATAGGGTATCTTAACGGTTTAGGCTCATCTTATGTTTTTTGTAAATTTATGATGACAAGACACTGTTATTCTGGACAGGAATTGAACAGGGAACACAAGTAACCCTTAATGTTTTGGTACAAGATAGTCAAGTGGGCAGCAGCTACACTGACTAAAAACAGAGATAGATTTATATTTTATTTTATTTTGCTTGCCCAAGCAGAGGGAGCAATTTTATCCACTACTGTGTGCAATGATGAAGCTAGAGGGTAGCCATTGGTGGCCTTGGCCACCATACAACAGTATTTCCCTTACATTATATATCATTATACAAGCAGGGCACCCCGCCCTGTCAACAGAACCAAGCACCCTACCTACTAAACCGAAACACCCCCACCCCATTGTCGAAAACTGCCGACACTGACGTAGCGCTAAGCTAGAGGCACACAATACAGATGCGCTAGCTACAAAGCTAGACGTAGTGGTCCGATTCCCTCATGCTCTCGAGCCGTGGCCCCCCAAGAAAAAAAATTTGCGGAAGAGATGAGCGCCCTGCATGTACGGGAAACACTGGTACAATATTCTTCAGCCTCAAATGATGGAGGTGACCATCTTACATAAATATATAGTGGTAACCATTTTGGATTTTGACATGGCAACCCAATTTTTGATGCAACCTTTCTTATGCCTAGATGAAGCGGCACACCAAAAGGGAAGTCGATTGGAAAACGGTTATTTTTGTCCTCTGTCCGTCCGTCCATTTTTGTCTAGGGGACAAAAAAGGCTGTAATTCAGTCAAGGTTACACACATTAAGGTAAAATGATGTGTACTCAAAGCTTAGAGTTGTGAACAACACATACTTTGACCATGATATCTCACAAAAGAGGGTTAAAAATGCTTTTGTTTGTTTCAAGGATTTAACAAAGCTCCTATAACAACATTGCTCTTTTAGTTACTCTAGCATAATAAAACACAGCTGAAATATGCATTCTTTTAAGGGATGGTAGTAATTGTATTTAGATATTTTTAATCCTGCAAAATAGTGCTATTTTTGCTCAGGATTATATGATCAGAATCTCAAACCGGCTGTGTCAACAAGAAATAAAAATGAAGTTTGGTAAAAGGTAAGTCTTTGGTCAGTCTTGATTAATGCCTTGCAATTTTGAGAACTATATTAACTGCTTACTTACTTACTGCTGGTAGGGTAAAAAAAACTTCCTTGGTTTTACACACACATGCACATACACTAACATTTGAGTTACATGATGAAACTATGAGTGGAAGGCCGACATTAACAAGCTAACTCGACCACACGGATGCGTGTTACACCCTGAAGATGAGATGTAATGGAAGTAAAAAAAAATAAAAAAAATAAACAGGCTAAGGAAAGAGGGGGTCACATTTGTGTCAGCCAGCAAACCTCGGCTCAGCTTGCACAGAAGAAAACATGATGGATGCATGCTGCCCAAAGAAACGGACAGTCAAATGAACTTTTCTGCAATTCAAACAATAACAGAAAGTCAGCAACATCAGAGAAGTAGAGAAAAATCTTGAGCAGTCTTCTTTAATGCTGTCTGATATATTGAAAAGCCGACAGAATGTGAGTGTACACGTAGGCCTGTCGCAATAAACAATAAATCAATTAATTATACGATAAATGAAAATTATCAACCTCATTTTCATTTATCGGCTTTATTGTTTCTTAATGTCTCTCTCTTTCTACTGAAAACACAGGATGACAAAAAGACTCAACTCCGGTGCTCTTCACTGACCCCTCCCTTTCTCTGTTCTCTTTAAAATCCATTTAACCGTCCAAAATCGCATTTTTGGATCAATTTAAAGCAGCTGAGCTGAGAAGCTAAGCTACGAGCTAAGCTAACAGGCCGACCTTGGAGAAAAACCTCCGTCTTGTCGAAGCTCCAAAATTCACGGTTGAAACCCGTGCCTTCGTCTGAAAAGTCGTTTTTCTCTGAAAAAAGAAGCTGAGAACTTGTTTACCGATTTTTTTTTTATTATTATTATTAAAAGCTTTGTGTGAAAAATGCTATGCTAAAAAGCTCAAATCAAACGGAGTGTCCACCAATTGGAGAACCGAAAAACAGGAAAAAGAGACAGCCCATGTCACAAAGGGGCCTCCCTCTCATTTTCCTTAAAGAGACATGCTGCTCACTCCCTCACTATCCATCCTTTGGTTCAAACAGTCTTATACTGCCATCCAGTGGTTAAAAACGGTACTACACACAAAAATCACCAACAATTCTTCTTAAATTTGACAATCATTACTAATTATTGTCAAATTTCGAACAATATTATCATTTATCGCAATAATTTCTGAGACAATCGCCCAGCAAAATTTGTTTTCGTGGCAGCCCTATGTACAAGAAAAACAAATATCCCCATAAAGCTAAAAATGTATAGCTTTTGTATTACATTTCCCCTTTATTCCTTAAAGAATGTGGTCATCACTTACTATAATATTCTGTACATGCATTTAGTGAGAGTAAAATCCTTCAGGGCATTTGCTATCTGTTCTCACAACTTACTGAACACCCACATGTAAAAGTCAGAACGTCACTTAAATGCCAAGCCAGCTTGTGCTTGGAACGATAAGGGAATTTTCCTGCAACTCATATGCAACTTCTCTCTGAAGGTTTGAGGGACAGAAAAGTAGAGCTCTGGGAACGCATTCTGCTACAGCTCAGCAGCCCTCCCTCCAACTCAATTAATTTCAACTGCAAAGGAATTTGCACTTACCCTTTCCCGTTTTTTTGTGATGTTCTACCGTCTGACCAGAGTTGTTATGACCTGCTGAATTTTGCTCAATCTAAGCAGAGCAGGAATGAAACAGAAGCTGCATTGTAGCCAAAACGCTGCCCTAAATACCTAAACTGAAACAATTCTTTGGAAAGAGCTAATGTCTTTAAATGGACCCTAAAAGCAGAATGGCTTCTTACCTTTATTCCCTTCTTCTATGAACTTTATTGTTTGCTCTTTGAGTCGGTCAGCCTCATGTTTCCTCTTCCTGTGGTCCTCTAACTTGATCTGTAGATCTTCAGCAGCCTGCTGGAGCTCTCTGAGCTGAGCCTGAAGATGAACAATATGATAAACATGAGATTATCAAACCTTATTGTAGTTAAAGAACATTTGTGGATTATGTTTTTGTGAACAAAGAGGATGGATGCCAGGAAGGATGCATGGATGGCTGAATCATACAAGAACAGCTGGTTGGTGGATTGGTTGGTCGACGAGCTGGTGGATTGGTTGACTGGTCAGTCAGTCAATCAACTGGTCTGTCTATTGGTCAACTTGTTGGTTGACTGGTCAGTCAATCAGTTGGCTGATTGAAGAATAAAGGGTTGGTAGGTTGGTTTGGATGGAAATATTGACCCAAATCTTGCCAGTATGCACATGACTACATTCCTGCTAAGTTTTAGGACAGCTGCACAAACAATTTCCATTGTTGGGGGTTGTTTAACCAATTAATTGATTGGATGACTGACTGGTTGTTAAAATGTTCAATTGGTCAGTCAGTCAGCTGGTCGGTCTGTTGGTGAGCTAGTAAGTAGTCTGATGAGTGACTGATTGGTAGATAGGTATTATTTGGTTTGTCGATATGAATGAAAATATTGAGCCCTCCCTTTCCAGTATGCGCACAACTACATTCCTGATACCTTTTGGGACAGTTGTGCCAAATGTTGTCATGCACAGGTATTTAATCAGTACTGCAAATAACATTGTGATAATGGCCATTATTCTGCCAAGTCTATCTTAAAAACCATCCATGTTTTTATTTCCTTTTTCTGGCTTCCATGTGTGATTTTTGCCCATTTTCCCCTCCGAATTGATTACTACACTTACAAAGCTGAAGCACTGATTTCAAAGGAAAAAAATGTTACAGCTTAATACAAGCAGGCGCAAAATGGTGTGCTGAACCAGTGACAATTGCTGATTTTTTTTAATCCTTCTTTCAGTTGCTCCTTTCTTCCCGGGGTGCCACAGTGAACTGACTCGTACGAAGACTTTTCTTTTGTGTTTACACTGGATGCCCTTCCTGACGCAACCACAGACCACTGAGCTACCACAGCCCTCTGTGGGCTGTGGGCCCTCTTGGGCACCTGGGGGAGCAGAAGGTTGGGATTAAGGGCTTTGCTCAAGGGCCCAGAGTGGGGCAAACGAGGGTGGAGAGGTGTTTCACCTTTTTGGTTTTCACCCGTTTGTGGGTGTTTCACCTTTCCCACTCACATTTTGATGTTGTTGGTCTGGGGAGGGAAGGCACGATGGCGCAGTTGGTAGAGCTGCTGCCTCTCAGCGAGCAGGTCATCTCAGTTTAAATCCCGGCCAGGGACCTTTCTTGGCAAAGTTTGCATGTTCTCTCTGTGCATGCGTGGGTTTTCTCCAGGTACTCTGGTTTCCTCCCATAGACCGAAAACATGCATGTTAGACTGACTGGTAACTAAATGGCCACGAGGTGTAAGTGAGAGAGTGAATGGTTGTTTGCCTCAATGTGTCCATGTTATGGACTTGCAACCATTGACTTGTTATGGACTTGCGGGGTGTCCCCCACCTATTGCACAGTGATGGCTGGACATGTGCACCAGTGACCCACGCATGGATCTATCCATGGATAGATGGATGGATGGTCTAGGGAGTCCGACTGGCATTCTTCCGATCACAGGCTCGCCTCCTCTAACTCTGCGCCACCACTCCCCCACAAATAACCTAATATTTGCAATAGTAAAAAAAAAAAAAAAAAACTCACTATCTTTCCAGGTTAAAACCAAAAGCTCAAAAGAAATCTTTAAAAATAAATATATTTAAAAGTTTGCTAGACATGCTTTTGTAATGACCAATTGAATCAGGACAAACTGAAACTCATCTGACATCTAAAAAAAAATGCATGTTCCTCAGTAGTAAATTGCCCAAATGTTGGAATAACAATTGTATTATTGTAACATCAATAGTTGTTTTTTATGTAGTTGAAATGTGAATACAATTTTAACAAATATAGCTCATTGGAATTGGTTCCTGGAAATTTGTCAAATTGTTTATATTCAATTCAGAAATTTAGACCAACATTGTGAATGATTAGAAAGTCAAAATGTTCTTATTTGGTGAATGAACCATTTGTTTTACAGAATTTAAGCAATCTTCAACATTATGTTTCAACAGCTGCCAAAGGAATGAATCTGAGAAGTAGTTTGATTAAAATCTATACTTGGGAGTCTAATTTATGGGATCTTGTGTTTTGTGTCGCTGGGTTAGATTTTAAATGTCTACTGTTGGTCAGTAACTTCAGAAAATGTCACCATCTAGACTTTTGTACTTAATTTGATAGAACATACAGTGAGGAAAATGAAGTATATGAACACCCTGCGACTTTGCAAGTTCTCCCACTTAGAAATCATGGAGGGGTGTGAAATTTTCATCTTAGGTGCATGTCCACTGTGAGAGACATAATCTAAAAAAAAAAATCTGTAAATCACAATGTATGATTTTTTAATAATTTATTTGTGTGTTACTGCTGCAAATAAGTATTTGAACACCTGTCAATCAGCAACAATTCTGGTCCTCAAAGACCTGTTAGTCCGCCTCTAAAAAGTCCACCTCCACTCCACTTATTATTCTAAATTAGAAGCACCTGTTTGAGGTCGGTAGCTGCATAAAGACACCTGTCCACCCCACACAATCAGTACAACTCCAACTACTAACATGGCTAAGACCAAAGAGCTGTCCAAAGACAATAGAGACAACATTGTAGACCTCCACAAGGCTGGAAAGGGCTACGGGGCAATTGCCAAGCAGCTTGGTGACAAAAGATCAACTGTTGGAGCAGTTACTAGAAAACGGAAGAAGCTAAACATGACTGTCCATCTCCCTCTGACTGGGGCTTCATGCAAGATCTCACCTCGTGGCGTATCAATGATCCTAAGAAAGGTGAGGAATCAGCCAAGAACTACACGGGAGGAGCTGGTCAATGACCTGAAGAGAGCTGGCACCACTGTTTCCATGGTTACTGTGGGTAATACACTAAGACGTCATAGTTTAAAGTCATGCATGGCACGGAAGGTTCCCCTGCTTAAATCAGCACACGTCTAGGCCCGTCTGAAGTTTGCCCATGACCATTTGGATGATCCAGAGGAGTCATGGGAGAAAGTTCTGTGGTCAGATGAAACCAAAATAGAACTTTTTGGTCTTAATTCCACTCGCCGTGATTGGAGGACGAAGAATGATGAGTACCATCCCAAAAACACCATCCCTACTGTGAAGCATGGGGATGGAAGCATCATGCTTTGGTGGTGTTTTTCTGCACATGGGACAGGATGACTGCACTGTATTAAGGAGAGGATGACCGGGGCCATGGATTGTGAGATTTTGGGGAACAATCTCCTTCCCTCAGTCAGAGCATTGAAGATGGGTCGTGGCTGGGTTTTCAAACATGACTATGACCCGAAGCACACAGCCAGGAGAACCAAGGAGTGGCTCCGTAAGAAGCATATCAAGGTTCTGGAGTGGCCTAGTCGGTCTCCAGACCTAAATCCTATAGAAAATCTTTGGAGAGAGCTCAAACTCAGTGTTTCTCAGTGACAGCCCAGAAACCTGGCTGATCTAGAGAAGATCTGTGTGGAGGAATGGGCCAAAATCTCTGCTGCAGTGTGTGCAAACCTGGTGAAAATCTACAGGAAACGGTTGACCTGTGTAACTGCAAAGAAAGGCTACTGTACCAAATATTAACATTGATTTTCACAGGTGTTCAAATACTTATTTGCAGCAGTAACACACAAATTATTTTAAAAAATCATACATCGTGATTTCCAGATTTTTTTTTTTTTTTTAGATTATGTCTCTCACAGTGGACATGCACCTAAGATGAAACTTGCAGACATCTCCATGATTTCTAAGTGGGAGAACTTGCAGGGTGTTTAAATACTTATTTTCCTCATTGTATATGTAGGACTTTAAACCATGACTTTGGACTTTTAAGGTGGCTTCTTTTGATAATTCTAAGCCCAAATAAAATTTGTTGTGGCAACAATTTTTGCATGTATTTTAAGAGCAATTTCAGTGGGTTTCAGGAAACGTATTTTATCTCAATGGAAACATAATTAAATTTTATACAACTTTGATAGCTGGTAAATACTTTGTGATTTCTCAAGAGCAACAAATAAAAAGATCTCAGCTCTACAAGTTGCCTTTTCACATGAAAAAAATCTTGAGGTAAGATTACATTAGATTGTTTTTCCATTGTTCAGAAAATACAAATAAAATTCTACGTGCAACAAAATCCAATAAAGGTAATTCAGTTCAATTTAAAAATTCAAGGAATGCCAACACGTCGATGGACTCTGAGGGCAGTTAACAAAATCAAATTCCTCAGGGCAAAAAACAGCAATATGTGGTATAAGAATAAAAAGCAGAGGGCAGAAATACAGTTCCTCAAGAAACACTTGGACGTGCAAACTAAAGCTTCCAAAATTGTGGTGGTTTATACAGGTCAGTAGAACAGACTGTGACCTACATGAACAAATTAGTTGAAGAAAAACAGGAGAGAGAAGAGGAAATGCCAATGTCCAATAATGTCAAGGACATTCTCATGTCTACTTTTACCACCCTGGAAAAAGGTTTTCTAAGCCAAATGGAGAATCTGCAGGGCTTTGTGGACAGAGAGACCTGGCTGAAGTCCCAGCTCACATAAGCTGAACAGAACAGCCATAAATTCTTAGAGGAACTGCACAAGGTTAGCACGAGAGAGACCAAACTGCAGCACCAGCTTCAAGACGTTGAAGAAAATCACAAGAAGGAGTTATTGGAACAGAACGGAGTCTTCAGTAATGAAGAAAGAGAGAATGCCAAACAGCTGAGAGAGGTGCAACAACAGAAAAACAAGATGAAGAAGAATATTCTTGCCTTGAAAAGTCACATCCAAACAAGGAATACTCAAAGTAGAAAGGGCAAGAGAGCAGATGAGGCAAAGTCAACAAATGGTCCAACGTCAAGGGTAGACACTCAAGTCCAGGAAGACCATGCCTCTAACATGCAAGAAATCAATGAGAATAGGTCAAGAAAAAGAACAAGTGAGAAAAACA